TAGCTGATTATGTGTGAAAGTTTGCGATGTGTGGTGATTTCTTGGCTAATGTGGTTCTCTCAGTGCCCTGCTGTTTTCTTGGCTTATTTCCCATGCTGGGATCTTTTCTCTGATGGAAAACAGCTGTCAGTGGCGACTTTGGTTCGAAAGCTATTCCTGGGATATGAAAACGCATGAAAGACTCAAACTACAGCTGACAAGGCCAACACTATCCAACACTGGTCCACACGCAGGTTAAACTGGTTAGGTTAGGTCCAAGACATTGAACTGCAAACTTTGGATGTGCTTCCCTTCGAGGCGGGTCGAACAGAGCTGACGTAGCAGACTTGACACATAGAGACACTTCTTCAAGGATTTGAGGCCATTCTTTTTTTTCCCATAAATAGGGTACCATGAAATTATCATGGTGGATCATTTTCACACATTTTCCGCTTTATCATTTCTCATATTATGGCATATTTTGCCCTTATGCAACCATTTTAGTAGTAAATTGTAAGATGAATGGCAGAAAAGATGGTCTTGATTGCCGGGTCAATTCAATCCCTTTCAATGCTAAGAAGAAACATAAGCCAGATAGATTTGATTTCGCAAAGGCGCCTTGTTTGGAATTCATCAGTGCACCACCTTCGCAATGGTCAGAAATCACCCTGCGAAGGCCATAGCATTGCTGAGTCCGCGGACTTTGCGTAGTGATCCTGCTACCTGTGATATGTGATACACTTTAGAGATGAAGTCCTGTGAGGTACGAGCCAGGGCTCATGTCACATGCTTTGGCGATTTTCTCCATTCTCAGTGCCTTGGAGCTCTGTTAACAGTTGGGCTCAGTTGGGCTCTGAAGCAGTCGATCCTGATGTCGATGTCGACCAGCTCCGGACACCAGCTCCGGCCAGCTGCCACCAGCTCCAGTCTCTGAGGTCTGCCTGCAGCTGCTCTCTATGACTCCCAGAAGAAAGTTGAGCATGCCCGACTCTATGGGTGAAATCCTCATCGACTTATGTCGTGTTTCATTTGGTTTTTACCTGTTGAATTGGTGTGAAACACTGCTGAACTCAGGAATGTTGACTCATTGGCGTACTACTTTGTTGGGCTCTGAGACATCAACAGATATCAACAGCACTTTCGCATATGGTGTGATGAAGCTCAATTTAAGCAGCTCCAAGTGGCTAATTTAAGCTGGTTTCACCGTTTTAGTATTTTCATGTATCATGATCGGTTGTATCAGTTGTCGATTGCAGGTAGACTTGGTGGTTGGAACTCCACCGCAGAGGGTATCAGTGATCCTGGATACTGGCAGCGGAGCGGTCCTTGCGTGTCTTGTTCCACCGGAGTTGGATGTTGCTGGACATGGCATCGATGAGCTCTGAGCACCACAACATCACGAGTTATAATATAACTGATATAGGGGCAAAGGTGGCACAGGATTTCGCAACCATCCACAGTATCCTCATGCTTTTGCCAGCGGACCGAAAACCGTGCTAAAACTAACGTTTTCGAGAACGTGCAAGTACGTTACTAACTTCTTGTTTTTTATGAACCACTTCCAAATGCGTTACAAACTTTTCTAACCACTTGCATGGGGTGGGGTGGGCTATTGACGTCTTTTCTACTAACAACTTTCAAGTACGTTACTAACTTCTCTAAACATTTGCATGGGGTGGGGTGGGGTGGAGTGGGGTGGGCTATTAACGTCTTTTTCTGCTAACAACTGCCAAGTACGTTACTAACTTCTCTAACCACTTGCATGGGATGGGGTGGGGTGGGATGGGGTGGGGTGGGCTATTGTCCACGTCTTTTCTGCTAACAGCTGCCAAGTACGTTACTAACTTCTCTAACCACTTGCATGGGATGGGGTGGGGTGGGATGGGGTGGGGTGGGCTTCTATGTACTTTAGTGCTAGCTTAGTACTGGGGGAGGTGGTTGGCCCTTTCCTGGAAATTGACGGCTGGAAGTAAGGAATCTCCACATAAGGCCCCCCCCCCTAACCCTTCGAATCCTGCCTGGTCCGGATTGGCAAAACTCCGGATGTATTTGATGCTATGCATTTTGTTTACAGTTGACCTCATGGAATTTCCAGGTTTTTTTGGTCAGTTTGTTTCAGAGTACGGCCTGGGTCTCCATTTCAATCTTCGATTGCGTCGACAAAACTCATTCCGTGGGCAGCGTTGTTTTGTGTAGCCAAATTCTGGCTTTAATCACGAAAGGTAGCAGCCAAAAATTACAATTTCCTGGATATGGGTTACTGTATTGTCATTTCCTGGAAGGAAGGAAGGCAGGAAGGAAGGAAGGATGACTTGCGTGTGCAAAAGTTTTCCTCTTTACCTCAACCTCTTCTGATACCCCTCAGCTCATGCGCAGCTTGTTTCACCCAGCACACAGGCGATTCTAATCCATGTACGTTGCGTTCTAAACTCATGACAGAAGAAAGTCCATTGCAATGGCTGTTTGCACTTGCCTACTGTGATACTGTTGCCATGGCAATTTTTTCTGCTCATTAAAACGCAATTCGGTGCTCTACGTGTATCACAGACACGCAGCTTAGCTCCATGCTCCAACTGGAATACTTCTACGAGACCACTCGATGTTCTTCACAGGTCATGGGCAGTGCTCATGTTAGATAAGAAAACAATAGCAGTATATCCCTTCGCAGCGACACTTATCCCTGAGCCACAAGCCTTTTAATAGTTCCCACGAAACAAGGACGGTTTCGTCTCCTGCAATTCTTGATGTTGCTTTTGCTTCAGACATCCTCACGCACTTAGCCGCATGAAGGTTGCATCCCTAAAGACCTATCCCTACACGCAAAGTGCCTCAACCGAGCGTCCATCGGTTGAGGCACCTTGGCCCCTCTAATTCACATAGCTGGCCAACAAACTGACTAACATTATCTTGCTTGTGGTTCTTATTACTGACTATGGCGCAGGGTGGGTGGAATGTAGATATTGAGACAAGATGCACGCAAGAAGTTGTGGATGCCGGGGAAGTTCGGATATTGCAACAACAAAAACGCAAGAAGTGGTGGAGAGGCCAATGGGGGAAGTCTACGTATGAAGCGAAATGGGTGCAGGAAATTGAGAGGCACCGAGGTGGAAGGGAAAGTTCGATATTGAAACAGGACGAGCGCAAAAAGTTGTTGAGAGATATGCCCTCACCTACCTTTCGCCCCCCCCTCTCAAGTACTCACGTCTTTTCTACTAACAACTTCCAACTGCGTTACTAACTTTTCTAACCACTTGCATGGGGTGGGGTGGGGTGGGGTGGGCTATTAACGTCTTTTCTACTAACAACTTCCAAGTACTTTACTAATTTCTCTAACCACTTGCATGGGGTGGGGTGGGGTAAGACAATTTGCAACTACATTGTTATCTTCTTTTTCAAATTGCAACTACGTTATGGGATGACTTTGTACATGACAGATTTGCGCTTTTCCATGTGCCGGCTGCAACCATTGTGTATTCCTCAGTGACTCTGGCGCCACGGTGTTTTGATTGAAGTAGCTATGGCAGCTATGGCAGGTTGGTTCATCTGCATGTCATTAGACCATTAGTCCATTAGATCCTGATCCCATTGAGGATTTCCACATTTTTTTTGAGTGGCATGTTGGCTTAGCTTTAGGTGGTCATCACATTGATCCGATGTCAGTTCCTTAGACTTCTGCATCACTTCACCATTGGTAAAAACTCATTGGTGAATTATATGGGTGGTACCCTGTGGTAACCTGGCATAGCCATGGCAAACCACCGTTTAGTAGGTACAATCATCTACATGCATTTTCCACAGCATGTTAGTTTATGAGAGGGTACATGGGGGCGATCCGCCAAGCTTTGACATCGAGAAGAGCGGCACAGCATCGTGGCTGAAGTGTGCATTCAACCGTTGCCCCGTTGGACGTTGCATGTCAGGGCCTCATTTTTTCGCCGGGAAGTTGAGATTTCCGGGCTTGACATGGGCCGCGAGACAGCCATTGCGAGGTCTGAGAAGTGCTACTACTACCAAGGTGGCACAAACAGAAATGCAGAATTCTGCAAGTTGATGCCTTTTGATGCTTTGCAAAGCCAGGCTACACTGAAGGGTCTTCAATCACAGGCTATTGGTTTGAGGAGCAAAGACACATACAGACACATTTTCACATCCATCGCTGCTTGTTCCATGACTCCTATCAGGACATGGTCAGCCTTGGAGACATGATCCAGCACAATCCGCAGGTCAAAGCCAGGACTCCAGGGTCCAGAATTTCTCTGCAGATGATGTATGAGTTGCTTCGTCTTGCTATGCACTTTGGATTTTACCTGCACTTCCTTGCTCGACATTGTGGAGGATGGGATGCCATTCGAATGAGAACAACTTGTTCTACACGCAGAAGGCACGCGGTTGAACAGTCAGACTTCGCGGGGATTTGGCGGTGCGAAAGTTTGCAAGCGCCAGTGGACCATGCCAGTCCACTTTCCGAAATGTTTCTTGGTGGTTCACGATTTGCAAGGCCATAAACGGTGATTAAGGCTCTCTTTGACAGCGAAACTGAGTATACAATCTGATTCCCCAAGTGAACATACCTCAGGAAATAGGGATCCCAAGAAAGGATTGCTACCTGGAAGGCCAACGGCATGATGGGAGTTGGGCCTGGTGGATTAGAACATGAAGCCGTTCTAGACCAGCTGCTGCAGGACTGGCAGTATGACAATTCTGCTGCTGTGCGTTGTGTAAGGATGTGTAAGGCAATATTTCAGCACTTCCCCCCTGGCACGACTCCGAACAAAAGGGGCTGTTCTTTGCATTTTCCTCCAACCTTTCATGTTGTTGTTCCAAGCCTGCTCTTATGTACTTTTTGCAATGCACTTGAAGGATAAAGCTCATGTGTCTCGCAAAATCTTTTCAGTTTGCCTGGCTGAGTCCAGCGCTGAGCACGGCCTCTCTCCCCCTCTCTTGCAATCAAGGGTAATGATGAAGTCTCGAAGCTCACTAGAAATGCTTGAAGATGAAAAGAGGTCTTTTTTTCCCAGGAACTGCGAAACTGGAGAGGGTTCTTGATGAATTCCATCCATCCTTGCGGGCGCACCCAGGTGGGGCGGTCAATTCAACGTAGGTGGCTACAATGACTCGTGCGCACCGAAGCTAAGCGATCGCAAGACATGGCTCGTAGATGCTCGTAGAGTGGTTTCCCCAGGTACCATACTGGTCCAATGCAGCTCATCCCAATGATGCTCCGTGGTTTCTATGGAGTGGGCCTGACCAAGATGGAGGCCCTCAGAGTCTGATTTTCAAAAATCAATAGGTTAACTCAGCTTAACCATAATGTTCGCGATTGAAATAGCCATTGGGGGGTATTCCACATTTTCAGACCCAAAATGGGTCATTTTGGTCAGTGGAGGTCGGTGACATGAGCATCACCAACTGGCACCAATCGATGATTGACAGCGGCACCACGTGCCGACTTGGGCTCTACAAGTTTCATGCTCTCTTTCTGAGAAGCATCCTTGCAAGATGATGCAGGTACACCTACATGAACTCGAAAAACTACAGGCTCCTGGCCACCGGGGTTGAGAAGGCATGTTCAGGCGCGTTGAATCTGGAGAAGTGAGCAGTGTTCAGAGCCCCTGTTGGTTGATGATCGATGATTATATGTAGGGGATTATACTACCCAACATCTTGGGGAGTATCATAACCCATTCTGTTTTCATGATTTTTCAATGAGCTATATAATTCCACCAGGGCAGAGCCAGCCCTGCGGTGGCAAGAAGCATGGCTCAAGCTGCTGGAAGCTTCCCAATGGACCCAGCAAGTCAAGTCCTTAGATTCATAGCATTTCCAGAACAGCTATGCTGAGGCTATATCTCATATCTTGGCATTAGCGAACAGTTTTCATTCTGACTTCTTGGCCATGGCCAAAACACCAAGTACTACCTTGGAAGTTGCACAGCAAAACCAGATCAAAACATCGTGGATGTAGAAACCTAGGTTTTGCTGGCATCTTCTCTATCTTCGCTTTGAAAAAAAATGAAACTTAGGTTTGCAGCGATTACAGTATTCTTTGACTCGGTGGAGACAAAATGGGTTCCAGAGGCCTACCTGTACAGGCTCGGAAGAAACATCCGGATTTTGCGACGATTTGGAAAGGTATCTTCAACGGATTGTTTTAAGGAACGAAACAAACAAAGCCTGATATTCTTTATGTTCGAATCTTAGATGGCAGAAGTCGTGGTTTCCTGCTCATCAAACCGATCCATCGATATTTTGCATATTTGCGAGAGAAATGGGAGTCATGCGGTGCAGGAAAGGGGACTCCGACACCTACTGCTATGCCTTTCAAGATGATGGCCCTACAGCGAACACGGTGCTGGGTGCTGTTTGGATGAAGCATCAGGACGGGAAGTGTTTGTCAACGTGGCAGCTTTGAAAAGAGTTGAGCTTGGAATGTTTCAGACTCGGATGACTCGGATGCAACAAAAACCAAGAGATGCCAAGTATGCCAAGAGATGCCAAGAGCTTTCTCAGCTTGGACCAAAAGGATCCAACAGGACCACTATATGGGAAGTTCTCAAAGCTCTCAGAGTGCTGAGGAGATCGTGTTTGATTTGGACAACAAGAAGGTAGGCATTGCCCCAGCCCGTTGTTCGATCACCCAGTGTTCAGAGAGACACTGCAGTGTAGTACTTGGTGTGTCTAAACAATAGTGAAGTGTTTGGAAACGCTTGTTCCGGCTTTCAACCCTGAACTTTTCAATCTTGAGCCTACAGCCAAAGCATAGATCGAACGTCAAACCACGTATATACCATTCAATGTAACACTAATTTTCAAACCTATCCCAATGAAGGGCTGAATCAGGTCCTTTTTGACTTGCGCTTGAACTTGCAGAGTAGAATGTTTTGAGCATTCTGTCAGTGAAGCCGATCGTTTTCTGAATTGAAACCATTGAGAAACCACGAGCGACGCATTTGTCCGCGTGAACAGAAGGCAAGAATACGCAAGCCACAGAAATACTGTGCATTTGAACTGCTTACCCTACAAAGCTATATATTATATATATGTATAATTATATATATAGCTCTGGTGGGGATTAGGATGAATTAGGATGCTTCCCTAGGCTTCCGTAGCCGCCGTTGAGGTCCTGAGCACCGAGAACGTCCAGCACATCTGCAGGCCGGACCAGCCAGGTCAATGTGGAGGAAATTGGTGCTGCATCTGTGGCCACCAGACATGGGGAGGACAACCAAACATCTGCGGTCGAAGCTACGTCGTTGACTGTGACATCGACCTCAACTGCAGAATATCAGACTTCCACAGAAGTCACCACACCTGAAGTTGGGTACTCAAGATGTTGCATTTGATCTTGAGACAGTGATGCCTGTCTCAGCTTTGCAGAACAGATATTTCATCTTTACTTTTGGCAATGCCATGATGCCGCATGCCAAGGACTATGGTATCTATGGTCGCGGTAAGTTTGTTGCAATCATTGTTTGGTCGACTGTAGCTTGCCCTGCACTGGTCCGCAAAAGATGTTGCGGCTGCATAGTTCTCACATTGGTGGGAGGGGACTGGTTCAATCGGCTGTAGCCGTTGCCTTGGGGCTGGAAGAAGTAAATCATTCCAGGATTGGTTGCTAGAATTTTTGCTGCTGAGTTGTCTCCGAGAGGCAACTTTCCTAAACGATTTAATCACACTGCGTGAAGAAATTGAATAGATTTACTGTCAGAAAAGCTTCCGAATTGTCCTTGGTCCTTGGTGGTTTGGTGTCAGCTTGCCATGAAATCCGCTATTCTTGGCGAAAGTCGAGTGATTTCCTTTTATGCCTTGCAATGAGGCCTGCCTGATAGTGGTCTTGTTTGTGTTCAAGAAGGTCTACTTGGACCAACGCAGGCAGAGATTGAACAAAGATCATGATAGATCTAAATTTTCCCAGGTCAGCAATGTACTTGGACTTTGAACCCTGGTATCTAAGTGGGGTTGATCCCATTTATGAACAGGTCGCAACTTCATAAGCATACGATTGTTAACCACATAACAACTGGGATGCACATTCACCTTTGAAAGGCGGCGAGTGGAGCTCAAGGATACGGAGGATCGCTCTGTTGCCAATCCATTTATAGTGGGATATAGTAGCTGTTTAAATGGAAATTGAATCCTACTCCACTATGGGAACCTGTATCAATGTCAACCAGTAGAAGGGGAGAGAATCATTTCGGGTTTTGAGAACTGCTTACATTGTAACATTTGCACTGTGCCGGTGAAATGAAGCTTTGGAATTCGTTCCTGTCTCTGGAAGCAGATGATGGCTGTGGACAACACTGCACGGCTGATGCCGGCAGAAAGTTTGCGTCTCAGCAGTGTGGCATCTAGACGCTAGAGAGTGCTTGCCGGATGTTTGTGGCTGGATGCTTTGACATGAATCTTCAAAATTATTAGCCAACAGCTCTTGCAACTCGAGCATCGGCATCTCGATCTGTTCAGCTGAACAGTGGATTCCACTCGGGGTCCTGAAAGGAATACACCCTTTGCATCCCTTTGCCTAGTGAGACATACGTATCAAGTTATTGTTGCACCACATTTTAATCCACCTCAGGAAACCCCGTTGTTGCACTAGTTCGAACATTGTTCGAATCGCCGTGACAACCCAGTCCCGTGAGTTGTTTGGTCCCTGCAGTCCATGAGACACGCTGTGGATCATTGGACACAACCACTTGCTGTCTTGGAGCAGTATGAAACAGCTGGGGATCTGCAGATGATATCTTGTACCCAGGCTGAACGCCACAGCAACATGTGCCGATGGTGCAGATGGTGCAGCGCTGGACTTTTCTGAGAGTTTCTGAGAGTTATTTCTGAGAGTTATTTCTGAGAGGTATTTCTGAGAGGCATTTCTGAGAAGCATTTGTGAGAGGTCTTTCTGAGAGGTATTTCTGAGAGGTATTTCTGAGAGTTGTTTCTAAGATTAGTTTCTGAGAGGCATTTCTGAGACGTATTTCAGTGAGTTATTTCTGACAGTTATTTCTGAGAGGTATTTCTGAGGGATTTCTGAGCGGTATTTCTGAGAGGTATTTCTGAGAGGTATTTCTGAGAGGGATTATTGAGTGGTATTTCTGAGAGGTATTTCTGAGAGGTATTTCTGAGAGGTATTTCTGAGAGGTATTTCTGAGAGGTATTTCTGAGAGGTATTTCTGAGAGGGATTTCTGAGTGGTATTTCTGAGAGGTATTTCTGAGAGGTATTTCTGAGAGGTATTTCTGAGAGGTATTTCTGAGAGGTATTTCTGAGACTTGTTTCTGAGAAGTATTCCTTTCTGAGAAGTCTTTCTGAGAGGTATTTCTGAGAGGTATTCCTTTCTGAGAAATCTTTCTAAGAGGTATTTCTGAGAAGCATTTGTGAGAGGTCTTTCTGAGAGGTATTTCTGAGAGGTACTTCTGTCTGAGAAGTCTTTCTGAGAGGTATTTGTGAGAGGTATTTCTGAGAGGTATTTCTGAGAGGCATTTCTGAGAAGCATTTGTGAGAGGTCTTTCTGAGAGGTATTTCTGAGAGGTATTTCTGAGAGTTGTTTCTAAGATTTGTTTCTGAGAGGCATTTCTGAGACGTATTTCAGTGAGTCATTTGTGACAGTTATTTCTGAGAGGTATTTCTGAAGCGGTATTTCTGAGAGGTATTTCTGAGAGGGATTTCTGAGTGGTATTTCTGAGAGGTATTTCTGAGAGGTATTTCTGAGAGGTATTCACCCCGCTTCGCGTGGGGTGGCTGCCCACACCGCAGGTTTATTTAGGTCCGTGAGAGGGGCTAAGGGTGGTTTTCCCCCGTGGGGGCTCCCCAAGCTAAGAATTTTAACTTCCCCCCCCGTGGGGGCTCCCCAAGCTAGGGAATTTTCACTTTTCCCCCCCGTGGGGGCTCCCCAAGCTAGGGAATTTTCACTTTTCCCCCCCGTGGGGGCTCCCCAAGCTAGGGAATTTTCACTTTTCCCCCCCGTGGGGGCTCCCCAAGCTAGGGAATTTTCACTTTTCCTCCCCGTGGGGGCTTCCCAAGCTAGGGAATTTTCACTTTTCCCCGCCGTGACAGCTTCCCAAGCTATGGAATTTTCACTTTTCCCTCCCTTGGAGGCTCTCCACGCTGCGGAATTTCAAATAGCTAGACAACGACGCCTAGATAGTCCCCCAAATCCCGTGTTCTTTGAATGTGTTTCCATGTTTTTGCAATGGTTTCCTTCAAAGCACGGTACTTTACACTTTTGTCGCCATAAAACCGGTCGAAAACATCATGTTCGACAATGCTTCCAATTCCCTTATCTCCCCAACCGTTGAAAATACCGCTATTTACAGTGTTTTCTTCAATTTTTCCATGTTCCAATGCCGGTAGCCAACTCCAACATATATATAAGAAATCCTTCCAAAACATTGTTTTTGACAGTGTTTTTCCAATGTTTCCAGTCAAACAGACGGTAATTTACACGTTTTTTGCCATAAAGGCAGTAAATCCTTCCAAAACATTGCTTTTGACAGTGTTTTTGTAATGTTTCCAGTCAAGCATACGGTAATTTACACGTTTTTTGCTATAACGTCAGTCCAAAACACTTGTTTTTGCAGTGTTTTCAATGCTCTGGCATCCAAAAACCCTGCAAATTCTTGCTATGTACAATGTTTTTTTTCATTTTTGGCCGTTTTTCCATTGCCGGAAAGCTACCAAAATGACCCAAAATTCCATTTCAATACCCTCTTGCGCTCAGACACCCAAAAATCCTCGAAAAATGTCGAAAACACCACCGTATTCTGGTCTCGGTGCGAAACCGTTTTTGGCCCCCCCCCAGCTAAAGCTGATATAGCGACTGCTATATTAACAAATGTCATTGAGCATTTAGTGTTGCTGTTTTGCCCCCCAATAAGCACGCCTTCACCGCCAAAGCGGTGTGGGCGGATTTCTGAGAGGTATTTCTGAGAGGTATTTCTGAGACTTGTTTCTGAGAGGTATTTCTGAGAGGTATTTCTGAGAGGTATTTCTGAGACTTGTTTCTGAGAGGCATTTGTGAGAGGTCTTTCTGAGAGGTATTTCTGAGAGGTATTTCTGAGGGTATTTGTGAGAGGTATTTCTTTGAGGTGTTTCTGAGAGGTATTTCTGAGAGGTATTTGTGAGAGGTATTTGTGAGAGGTATTTCCGAGAGTTGTGAGAGTTTTTTCTGAGAGCTGTGAGAGCTGTTTTCGGAAGCTGCTTCAAAGAGTTGTTTCTGAGCCTTGTTTCTGAGAGTTTCGGAAAAGTTCCGTGTCCCAAGGGCAGCATGTTTTGGTAGGGACCTCAGCAGGAAAACAGCAGTGGCACATGCTACCATGCTTGTTGGAGCGATTGACCAACCATCGAGGTCTAAGAGACTTTGAAGGATAAACTTCTCCAACTGGGACAACTTTGCAAAATGGTGAACCAGGATGGCGTGGCTGGGCCTTTAAAAGTCGCCTTCTTAAGAAAACCATGTTTTTTTTTAAAGAACTCTTGCTCGATTTGCTCTGGCACCCTTTCGTTTCCTTTCTTTTTTGGATGACATCTCATTCAATCTTTGAGACTTTGGCAGGACTTCACTCAAGTTTTTTGTGTGCTTGAAGGCATGCTTCCCAGGACTAGACTGAAGCATAGCATGATCTGCTTTCTTTTCTTAAGGTGGTGTGCTGACTGCTCCACAGCCAGAATATGTTGTTTGTCTTGTTGCTGATTGCTTGTATTGTGGATCCCTTCTGCCCAACAGGACAACATTGAGCTGCTTCCTCGGTGGGAGGCCAAGAGGCAAGCTAAGGTAGACTTTTCAAGAGTAGTGATGTGTTGACCTACTGAGTCTACTGAGCCAAGGAATCTGTTGCATAATACAACAGTACAAACATGTACATACCATGTATGGTGCACTTTTGTTTGCTCAATTTCTTGTTCGAGAGTATTTGGTTTGAAACAATGTGAGTCTTCTTCCATTGACACTGTGTGTGGTGACTGCGGGCTCTCAGCTTTGGGGTTGCAGCCACCAAGCTTTGGTACAGATGTCTCGCGCGCCCAGTGAATCTGGACGCGAGAGACGGCGCAGTTTATCCGTGCAGTCGCACCGACCTCTGCCAAGCAGAAGGTCTAGCTCTGCATTGGAAGACCATTCCCAAACAGCTGTAACACGTGCAATTTACCATCATGCTCGTGGCTGGGCTGCAATTTGTCAAAGACATTGGGACAAATGTCTGTCACAAGTGTCTTTCTTGTTGCTTTGCAATTGTCGCACATTCTTGCTTACACGGCCTCTTTTGGGAACTGGGGGATTCAGTATACAGGAAACTCCGTTTATTTTTGGCCCCCGAGGAGAATTTCTTAAACAACGAGACCATGCTCCTGAACACCGCGGTCGTCGCGCGATGCTTGCAGTTTGCCAGGGAGCTCGTGCAGTAATTCTGGAAAGTGCAGTAGTACAAATCATTTTGAGATGTGTAGAGAGAACCAAACAGCTTCGTGCCAAGCAGGCCGATGACAAATGGCATACACTGGGTGACAACCGTTCCTTGTTCGGAGGTCAACTGGGGATTGAGTCAGCTAAACGGATCTCCGAGGCCTTGGGTGAGATGTTAGCAGGTTTTGAAGGCAATGATGATGTGCGAAGTCGCTTTTTGAATGTGGCCAAGAGCTTTGATCAATCAGAAGTGTCCTTGCGGCAGCTTCAACAGTCCTTTGGTGATAACCTCGATGGCCTGGAAGCCATGCGCAACAATTTTGATCGCTGCACCGAAGAAGTGATTCGATTGGTGAGTCTACTGGAAGGTGACTGTGCGAGCATGAGACTTCAATTGCATCGAACACTGAAGAGCCCACAAGAGCGCATGAGTCAAAACCTCTTTGGTGGCATTGAATCGCTGGGCAAGAGTCGCTTGGTGCTAGAGAATATTCCTGCATCACCAGAAGATCATATCGGTGGATTGCTAGACACACTGGAACATGATTTATGTGATACTCCGCTGACTCACATGGTCCAAGTGGCACAAGATGTGAATGATCACATCGTGAGGCAGCTCTCAGAGAAGGGTCGACTGGAGAAATTGAGGCCTTGCAGACTTAGCTTTGATGCCACTGCCCAGGGCCAGTGGGTTTCTCCTGCCAGGATCATTGAAGAAATGTTCCGAACGCTAAAGCCTTGCATCTTTGAATCTGCAAATGCCATGGCTGAAGTGGACACCGCGGACGCCGGAACCGAACCGGATGTGTCAGCTGAGCAGGAGACTGCAGCTTTGATTGCATCAGGCGGACTGATGAGCCCAACTCGACCACCAGTAGATTTGTCCTTCGCTCGTGCCCAGCTCAGCAAGGTTCCAAGTTCGAAACCTCCGTCGAAGGACACCAATCCTCCAAACAGACGGAAGGGATCCAGACAATCCGTACAACGCACTTCTGTGGGGTCGGGAACAGGCTCAGCAGGTTTAGGCGACTTCAAAAGACCAGAGGTGCGGAGGAGGCCGTCTGGACATGATGCAAAGGTTGACTCGAGTGATCCTTTGAACGGAACTCTGAGGCAGTTCAGACGGCAAAGATCCTTGAATGCAGGTTCAAGTGTCCCACTGTCAGCCAGTGCTAGTAGTCCGGACTTGCCAGGGTTGGTGAGAAAAGACCTTCAACCGAAAGCTGTTGGCAGTCTTGGTCGCGCAAACAGTTTGCAGAGTGCTTCGGCCACAGAATTCAGAAACGAGTTGAAACACGTCTCTGCAGAGGGCAGAGATGGTAGAGGGGCTAGCAGCCTTGGAGTTGGTGTAGATCCGAGCCGTCCGAGCCTGGGTGATTTTCCACTCGACCCACTGGCTCCTGCTGGCCATGCAGTCGGCCATAGAGATGCAAGTGAAGTCCATGGCAAGGAAAGACAAGAAGATGCACAAGACGGACAAGACACACAAGATGAAACGACACATGCTGACTGTGGAGCCAGAGATGAAAGACTGGCTGGAACTTCAGGGCAGTTGGAGCCTCCGGAGCCTAGCAGAGCTCAGGTGTCAGCTGCTCTGCTTGGTGGAAGCTCAGGTCATTCTGATCTTCCTTGGCCGCCCGGGCCTAGACAGCCTGGTCTGCATTCCGAGGTCGACCAAGGTCAGCTCCATCTGCGGCACCATGAAGCAGGTCCTGCAGATCCAGCTGATGGTCCCCGTTTGTTGGGCACCGAGACCGGCCAGTTGATGTTGGGAAACAAGGCCAACCAGGGTAACCACAGTAACCAGGGCCACCTGGACCCACTGCCGGAAGTTTCTGCACCCCGCCCAGGGGAGCAAGATGTACAGCCTTTGCCCCCAGGGCTTGAAACGAATGGCGTCAGTGGGCGCTTGGCTGAACCCAGAAGATCGAGAATTAGAAAGTCTTCTGAACCAGAAGCCTGGCAAAGATTTGCAAGACCTGCTGCATTTTGTTTTTCTATTTAGTAAGACTTTTCCTTTTTTATTCTCGCGTGCTCTCCTCTTTTTCCTGGGCGCCATGTGCTAGGATGTGTTGGCGGAGTACTCGCGGTTGATGGCTCCAGGTCAACGAGCAGGCGTGCTGTGCATGCTGTGCATGCTGTGCATGCTGTGCATGCTGTGCATGCTGTGCTTGTGACACACTTGCGACCGATCAAGTGCGCCCGTGAGGCTACGAACAGCAAATGACGGTGAACCCATTCATGGGAAGCCCATTGCTGGTCACAAAGTCTAAGTTGGAAGAACGCCCTCGAAGGCAGTCTTTGCCAGAATCTCAGTGTTGGAGAATCAGCCAGATGAAGTATGTAACTGACTTGAGTATAGCCACTTGAGTCCGAGAAATGGTGTGTATTGATTGTTCACTGTAAAAGTGTTCCAGCAGTCTCTCACAGCACGCATGTGCACTTCATGCCTGATGATCTCATGCTGATCACATCCGAAATCCCCCAGCCCAGTGCCACACCAGGACAGCTTCAGACCCACTTTTTCCAGGGAAACTGGAGCCACTAATACCGCTGGGTTCCAAACCTGGTCTTCCTGCTCCAATGGGCCTGGCTGGAATGGCCCTGTCTGGAACAGCAGCACAGCAGCAATGGCACTTTCGGTGGAGCAGTTTCAAAGCCCCAGTTTTGCTGATGACATTCCCCACATCTCCCCAACATAATGGGGGAATCCCCATTAAACTTATGTCCACCTCTATAGCTTATTCTAATGTTTTTTAAACTTGAAAAAAAAGCAAAAAAAAAGGAAAACACATGGAAAATCAAAAAGCAAAACATCAAAACCGAAAAAAACGGGAAGCAAAATAAATGGGGAAAAAAAGGAACGTCAAAAAGGGGGAAAAAAAGGGGGAAAAAATGGACTTGACCATTTGATACCATTTGCATTTTTGTTGTTTTTCCCGAGAGCGTCTGAGCGCAGGGTTCTTCCAATAGTGGGGGTCTGTAAAACATCTTCTCATCTTCACATCTCATCTTCACATCCTCTCATCTTCACATCTCATCTTCACATCCTCTCATCTTCACATCTTCTCTCATCTTCACATCCTCTCATCTTCACATCTGCTCATCTTCACATCCTCTCATCTTCACATCTGCTCATCTTCACACCTTCCCATCTTCACATCTTCTCATCTTCACATCTGCTCATCTTCACATCTGCTCATCTTCACATCTGCTTATCTTCACATCTGCTCATCTTCACATCTGCTCATCTTCACATCTTCTTATCTTCACATCTTCTCATCTTCACATCTGCTCATCTTCACATCTGCTCATCTTCACATTTGCTCATCTTCACATCTTCTCATCTTCACATCTGTTCATCTTCACATCTGCTCATCTTCACATCTGCTCATCTTCACATCTTCTTATCTTCACACCTGCTCATCTTCACATCTGCTCATCTTCACACCTTCCCATCTTCTCATCTTCACATCTGCTCATCTTCACATCTGCTCATCTTCACACCTGCTCACCTTCTCTCTCATGCCTTCTTTTTATCTTTCTCTCTTAAGGCCGAGGGTGGTGCCGGCGGCGAGTCACGAAACGTCAACCCTTTCGCAGGAAATGAGGGTCGATCGGCAAAAACTGAGGTAAAACTGCGATTTTACGTGTGCTAAAGCAACCCTTTCGCACGAAATGAGGGTCGATCGGCAAAAACTGAGGTAAAACTGCGATTTTACTTGTCCTGGAGCAACCCTTTCGCGCGAAATGAGGGTCGATCGGCAAAAACGGAGGTAAAAGTGCGATTTTACTTGTGCCGTTCTTGTCTGTGTGTAAAAGCGCCTGTGTGTAAAAAGCGTCTGTGTGTAAAAGTCTCTGTGTGTAAAAGCGTCTGTGTGTAAAAGCGTCTGTGTGTCAAAGTGTCTGTGTGTAAAAGCGTCTGTATGTAAAAGTGTTTGTGTGTAAAAGTGTTTGTGTTCAAGTGTTTCTGTGTAAAAGCCTCTGTGTGTAAATGTGTTTGTGTGTGAAAGCGTTTGCGTGTAAAAAGCGTCTGTGTGTAGAGGTTGTCTGTGTGTAAAAGCGTCTGTGTGTCAAAGCGTTTGTGTGTAAAAGCGTCTGTGTGTAAAAGTGTCTGTGTGTAAAAGCGTCTGTGTGTAAAAGTGTTTGTGTGTAAAAGTGTTTGTGTTCAAGTGTTTCTGTGTAAAAGCCTCTGTGTGTAAATGTGTTTGTGTGTGACAGCGTCTGTGTGTAAAAAGCGTCTGTGTGTAAAAAGCGTCTGTGTGTAAAAGCGTCTGTGTGTCAAAGGGTTTCTGTGTAAAAGTGTTTGTGTGTAAAAGTGCCTGTGTGTAAAAGCGTCTATGTGTAAAAGCTTCTGTGTGTACAAGCATTTGTGTGTAAAAGCAACTCCTGTGTGTAAAAGGGTCTGTGTGTAAAAGTGTCTGTGTGTAAACGTATCTGTGTGTAAACGTGTCTGTGTAAAAGCTTCTGTATGTAAAAGCTTCTGTGGGTAAAAGCTTTCTGTGTAAAAGTGTCTGTGTAAAAGCTACTGTGTGTAAAAGCTTCTCACTATTTGGTCTTGATACTCCTCTTCTCGACTGCCTATAACACATCTTTCATACATCGTTTCTAAAATTGCGTCTCCATACTAACAAGAGAAGACCCTGCTCCTCTACGCTCTCGGGCCATCCGTCGTCTAGTTTTTTGCTTTTTCGATTTGTTTTTTTTTGCTTTTTGCCTGGAAAAAAGCAAAAAAAAAGCAAAATAAAAGCAAAAAAAAGCAAATCGAAAAAGCAAAAAAAAAGCAACAAAAATGCAAATGGACAAGTCCATTTTTTCCCCATTTTTTCCCCTTTTTGTCTTTCCTTTTTGTTTCCTTTTTTTCCCCTTTTATTTTGCTTTTGTGTTTTTTGGATTTTGCTGATTTGCTTTTTGGTTTTTCCATTTTTTTTGCATTTTTCGCGCTTTTTTTCAAGTTTTAAAAAAATAAGAATAAGCTATGGTTTGGTGAACATAACATAATTAAACAACCATTAAACAACCAACAACCGTGATTTGAGGTATGTTCCAAGAGGTTTTTGACGCTGCTCAGTTGAGTTGTGCTGCTGGGAGTTGGAAAACTGGTAAATGATCAAGAAGTGTCAGCCTC